GGAAATTCCAAAGATATTGTAATTAGTGTAAGACTTAAAAATTAAAATGTTGAAGCAAATAAATATACAAGAATATGACCTGCTTTCTCCCTTGCTTTATTTAGGGGAGTGAAAATGTACATAGTGATATAAGGCCAGCACTCTTCTACTTAAGCAAGGCCACTGTCACGCAACACAGTATTGGCTGTTCTATATTGGAGCACTAGATAAGGCAGTGACTTTTGAAATATGACATAAGATGGTGTATGTGCGATACAATTTTTTTCTCTATAAACACTATGGCTTTCTAAGGCATATTATTCCAAGATTAATCCTAGACATCAAAAAGCATTTAGTTGATTCTTCCTTTTTGTAATAATAAGGAGAACTTTAATATGATGGGTCATCCATATATGCTGAGGACACTCATACAATTAAAAGACATTCAGAGGTACCCCAGGCGCTGAAATGCACATAGAACTTTAGGGGTTCCTTTGCGGTGTACTCCTTACTCATCATTTCCTTTGTGTGGCCCCACCACAGGTCACACAATAGCAGGACTGTCCCTGGAGAAGAGTTCTTTGTCTCTGCTATTGTGGAGGCTTGGCAGTGGCCCAGCAATCGATCAATTACTTTTATTTTGAAGTAACCACTATGTATGCTACTGTGGAGAATGGTCTTAGGTCACTACTGTTGTGGGCAGTCAAGAAGAAATAAAATAAATAAGTAACTAATTAGAAAAACAACAAGAAAATGGAGCTAAAAGGTTCTTAAATATTGAGAAATTGCCCCATCTTGCATGGAGTGAGCATGAAGAACCAGGGTTAGGCCAAGTAACCCATGGCATTATGCAGAGAGTAGGTCTTGATTATGTATTTATGATAGCAAAACCATTGCATTTTTGAGTTATTTTATCTATAGGTTATTAATTTGATTGGAGTTACTACTCTTTATATTTTTATTTCATTGCATTACTTATTTGCTAAAATACATTTTATTTCCTTATCTCGTCAGTAGTTTACCAATGGCCAAATTGAGTTAGTATTGGTAAAGGAAAAGGAAACATATTGAATTCTTTTCATTCTGGGGATAACTTTAATTCTGGTCAGAACCAACAGATGGCAGTGAAGTTATAAATTAACCATTTCCAATAGTCTCATTCTGTGCAGGTCAGCCATCAACAATTCTTAGTATTTGCATAAAAATGTAAAAATTTTTGATATGGTTCATAAAACATGAAATTTGGCAGAAAATATTCTGTTTCAAAAACAAACAGCTTCTTGTCTCAAAAAACTATTCAGAGACTATGAATTTTCAAACTAAGTAGCAGTATACCCAGGAAAGGGTACCTGTCCCAATTAACTAACTGGATTTTCATATCTAAAATTTGCTATTGCTTCTTGTTTTCTATTGTTACCTCTTTTTGTAGCTGGAGCTGTTTTAGCCTCCTCATTTATCTCAATAACAATATTCTCTCCTTTCACCACAAGTGAATCTAAGCTGTTCTTGCTCTTTCCTCTGCTGCCTTCAAAAAGGTCTTTTATTCTTATTCATTGCTGTTTGTGTTTTTACCCACGTACCCTTATTCTGAGGATAAAGAATGGAAAGAATGAATAGAAGGCTCTTACAGGTGGGCCACTGTGTATCCCACTGTTGGCTTCTACTATCTAAATAAACAAAACAACACTGATGATTATTTTAAGTTAGGTGGCAGAGGGTTTAGGCTTTGCTTGAAGTAGACTTCCTATAAGCTTGCTTTCTCTCAGATGCCTGCCGTGGTTTCCATACCAACAGAAATGGTTGATTCCTTCAGGGGTGCTGGTGGTGGAGATGGGCAATAATAATAACCAATGTGGCAGGCGAGTTATGTAGTATATTACAAAATAAGGGCAGCGAGGACAATTGGAACCATGTGTGTGTGTGTGTGTGTGTGTGTGTGTGTGTGTGTGTGTGTGTGTGTGTGTTGCAATCTGAAACACTGTGGTCATGGTAGGACTCTTTGAGGGCAGTGAATATAAAAGACCTTAGACCTCAAGTACAAAATACTGCTGGCAGTTGAATGTAATTGCCAAACATTCTCAGCAGAACATTCTCTGTGGTCTATTTTGATTTTCATCTCATTTTCCTCCACAATATTAGCTTATTTGTAAGCAAAAAGAGTTGCTGAGTGTTAGTAATTGTGTGAACTACAATCTCCTATACTACAATATTCATACAACCCAGACACCTGGGACTTGCTCATATCCCATATCCAGAGCACACACTCGGGGGCGGGGTGGCCTGGGAGGAGCTAAAGGAAGGGATTGGACCAGAACTTTCCAAGGTAGGGAGTTACAAGCTCAGGCAACCACACCCACAAGAAATGGCAAAAGTTCACCACTGGCAGCCTGCCCACGGGGGCCCACAAAACTGATTGCAAGCCCCAAGGGACTGCTCCCCACAAAATGTACTCAGTGAGTGAAGGAGAAGTGGCCCCAAGTTTCCTAGGGGGCTGAAAACATCACTACATGTGGAGTGACAGCCACAGTCCTCCTCTGCAGAGATTAACAGCAGGATGTATGGTCAACCAGAGGACTGGGGGAGGGCGGGGGAAGGATTTTGAAAGATTTTCGTTCAGATTCATTACCAATCATTAATCATTGAAGGAGATCAAATCTCAGGAGAGAGGCTGGAATCTCTGGAGCACTGAGTCAAGGCTCACAGATTGTTAAGACAAGCTGGGGAGAACCCATTTTCCATTAGATAAACAGGTTATAGGCTTTGCTGTGATTTTTCTGTGTTGTTTTGCTTTAGGAATGAATGCAATAAGGCTGGCAGGAAGATAGACAATGCGGCTCTGCTGGGTTCAGGTTAGAGAATCTTTTCAACCTTGCTTTTCAGCATTTGGTGTGCACATAGCACCTAGAACGCCACCAATTTCTTTCTGGTCTCAAAAACAAAAGCAAAATAGAAGAGCTGGAGGCCTATATCAAGTGGTAGTAAGCTCAAGACCCTGTGTTCAACCCTTCTCCCCTTCAACAGGAACCAAGTATCCTTTACTTAATATTTTAATTTTAAATATTTTTAGCTCTAAAAGTTGAAAGTCAAAACTATATAGATCTCAAGGACATGGAGAAAGAACCTCTTACTGAATACAAATGAGATAAAAAGAAAAGATTTAAGAAGAATGCATACTATAAAGTCAATAAGAGGTTTGAAAACCTGCTATTAAAATTTTACAATAAAGGTAAATGATAAAAAGTAAAGTGGGTTGGGGGGGGAGATCTAGTCCTAATTCTATGTTGATTCAATGCAGATTACTGTAAACTTGTTAATTCAATTGAAACAGAAAAATCTGAAGGCAGCCCCTTTAGAAATGATTTACCATTTTCTAATAGTCTCATTTTTATACAAAACTGTGAAGTGAGGGTAGCCAGACAACACACATCAAATCAAGACAACTATAGACTCTGATAGTCTAGGAAGTATTTTAGATGATGTGGTAATCTAAATGCATTAGAAACAGAAGTTCTTTTGTTAAGAGTTCCCCCCCCCCCCCCCGTGGTATGACTTTGCTGAGGGGAAAAAAAAATCACTGCAAATGCTATTTTAAAATTGCTACTTCCTCTGTCTCCATATTCTAGAAGTTGTGTGCTTTTCTTAATTTAGGAAATTAATGCATCAAAGATTGTAGCTGATGCAGGAACACAGTTTTGTTTTAATACTTCAGCATCTCTGCTATGTTTTCATTAGGCATTGTTAGATTTTTAGTCATTCCGCTGAGGTCTCATAAAATATTTGTGTGGGAGTAGAGAGAGGGAAAGAAAGGTTGAGAACAGATTAAGTATGTGAAGGGGAGAAGAGGAGGGTTCAAATTAGAAAAGGGTAGTTTAGCCACAGTGACTCAAAACAACAAGAAATAAGTTAACTCACATACCAAGTGAGATGTGGGAAAGGCATGGAATGATTATAGTCAAAACTTGACTTCAAGAATTTCTTGTTTTGTAAAACAACCTATATTCCGTTGGAGGACAGAACACGGTTGCTGTCTGACAGACATAGAACTGTCATCCTCCTATCTCTGTGTCCTGAGGAGTGATAGGCATGTGTCATTGTAGGGTCCACTTTAGCTATTTAATAGATGAATGCACCCCAAAAAGTTAGGTACATTTGCAAAGTGTTGGCTTCATTTGTTGGAAGACTGTTTGAATGATTTATTTTAAGTAGCTGTACAAGGGGGTTTCAAGTCAGATTATGAGTTCAATACATCCTGATATCAGCCCTTCCCCAAGATTTTTTTTTAAGTAGGCTTGATTCACATGAGGAAGGAAGTGGTTATAACCATGAAAGTCGGGTATGTGCCCAGCTTTTTTCTCCATGATCTTTGCCCAGTTCTTTTAGCTGAATCTTTTTTTAAAGTTTCGATATTTTTCCAATGTTTACTTGTTTCAAAATGGATCATTTCATTTCTTTCTAGATTTGTGAAATGTTTCTATAATGTCTCTAATAATATTTCCAGCATGATCCACTTTTCCCTGTGCTAGCAACTCCTATAAAAAATTAGCCTGAGCCAGGTACACTGGTGGCTCTCACGCCTGTAATAAATCCTGGCTACTTGGGAGGCTGAGATCTGAGGATTGAGGTTTGAAGTCAACACAGGCAGCAAAGTCAGGGAGACTCTTATCTCCAATTAATCACACAAAGAGCTGGAAGTAGTGCTCTGGCTCAAGTGATAGAGTGCTATCCTTGAGCAAAAGGAGCTGAGGACAGTAGCTAGGGCCAGAGTTCAAGCCTCAGCACCCTGGGGGGAAGGTAGCCTGAATCACATGGCTTAACTATTTCCTCAACAAACTGAGAAACAGTGACAGATTTTGTAATATCGTCAGGAAACCTAGTGGTTCTAACCTCATAAGAGATCCTAAAAATAAACCAAGAGAGTTTCCTATTTTTTTTTCCATAGTCCATCCTAAAAGCCAAAATAACCCAGTCAGTGGGAGTCTGTTGGCCTGTGCACGTCCCAGAACAGGCTAGACTGCACTTACTTGGCATTGGCAGGATGATTAGTCGTCAAGTTTGCCAGGGCCAGGGCTGCCGCCTCCCTCACTTCGTCATTGTCACTCTTCAGCAACTGAACTAATTGTGGAATCCCTACAGACAAAAGGAAAAAAAAGATGAAGGTGAAGATGCCTGGGCACTCTGGAAAACGGCCAGTCCTTCACCCCCTTACCCTCACCCATATGTAATTCTCAAAACCTCCTTGGTAGTTTGCGTACCCTGAGTACTGAAAAAGTCCTTGCTGCTGGAATTCTCGCTCATGGCTGAAATGGCTTGAGAGGCAGCGATTTTAGTTCCATCACTTTCCGAGCCAAGAAGGGTTACCAGGCTCTTCTCAACTTCTTGTTCATGAAAAAGTTTTCTATTTTCAGCTTTCATAAACCAAAAAGGGAAAACAAACAAACAAACAAACAAAAAACAACAACTTCAGAATCTGGCTGTAAAAACGGCATTACAAATTCTTCCTGACCCATCCAAAGTATGACAGGAATACAGGCTATCCGGTTAGTGCTGAAGTATGAACTAAACAGCAGGCGTAGTATGTAACCTTTAGAAGACAGAGATAATACAAAATGAGTCATAGATGTTGCAATTCTCTTCTCCCCTTATGGGAGGTTATTTTGATACTATGTGGAAGAAAATTCCATATTAAAGAAGAGGCAAATTTTTAGATTTCTTCTGCAAGAAACACCATTTAACACTAGACATATGCAGACCCAATGCAATGTGTCCACATAGGGTCTCCACTCACAAAAAAACTAAAACCTGTTGACTTGATGGTAAAGGTGAATACAAAACCAGGCGTTGAGCCTACTGTGGCCCAGCTTCAGGACTTCAACAATTGGAGAGGATCTGGGAGAAGAAAGTAGGAATGGATTATGGAGTTACATCTATCCATCTATCTACTATCTATCTACTATCATCTATCTGTCTATCTGACTATCTATCTTACAATCATAACAAAAATGTTGACAATCACAAGAAATTGCCATAATTGATCTATTAAAAAACTAAATTAGGATTCTGTTTATATCATGATATTCACGAAATTCTATCACTAAAACTACCTTGTAAGACACTACATTTGAAACTACAGTTTTGTTTTTTTGTTTTTGTTTTTGCTGGTCATGGAGCCTGGCTCTGTCCCTCAGCTCTTCAGCTCAAGGCTAGTGTTCTACCACTTGAGCCACAGCACCACTTCTGACTTTCTCTGCTTATGTGGTACTGAGGAATCAAACCCAGGGCCCCATGCATGTAAGGCAAGCACTCTACCACTGAGCCACCTTCCCAGCCCCTACAGTGGGTTTGTTTTTGTTGTTGTTGATTGGTTGTGTTTCTGTGATGCCAAGGATCAAATCCAGGGCTAGGCAAACACTCGTCTACCACTGAGCTCCACCCCTAGCTTGAAAGCAAACATTTCAAATGTTCTGTCTCCTTAGCATTTTTTTCTCCTCTTGATTTAGTTGTTTTTAAATGACAATCTCATTGCTACACTAAAGTAAATGTTTAAATTAGAGCACCAAAACCTATTTTTTGTCTGAACTCTAAATTTTAAAAACTTGTGTCCTAGTTAATTTGAAATATTTCTAACTTTTATGTTTGTAAATAATTTTATACCAAATTTAGTTTTAGCATCAAAAAAGGTACCACATACCATAGTGAGAAATAACAGCATTATACATTGGTTATTTTCAGATCCTTCAAAATACTGTCAGATCTGATTCTCCACTAACTGCCTTTGTAAATTTTATAACTTAACCTTGATAAAATCAATTTTCATGGTTAAAATAGCATTGCAGCAGGGTGGGTATTCTGAGGATGGTGATCATAATTTAGATTACAACTTCAACTGTGGAGCCAAGTGATTGCTTATTCATGTTTTAACCAAGTTAATTTCTTCCAGAAATATTTTTAAAGAAACTAACAGCAACTAAGTTGCTATTTTAAATGTCACAAGACCCATTGCAACAATGAGATGTCATTATGTCGAAAAACGAACTTTACAACTTTGGGGGGGAGGGGGAGCGGGGAAGATTGGGTGGGGGGGCAGAGGGAGGATGGGAAGGGATGGGAAGGGGAAACAAAGGAGGAGGCTACAATGCTTGATAAGAAATGTACTCATTATCTTGCCCATGTAATTGTAACCCCTCTGTACAATCTTTTCACAATAAAAAAATTTCAAAAAAAAAAATCAACCATACAGTAAAAAAAAACAAAGTCACAAGAATTCTTGTGGCCCAGCAAAGTGTCTTTCTCCTATAAGCCAGTCTATTCTGAGATCTGAGGATCAAGGATCAAGAAACTCTTTATTTCTAGTGAACCATCAAAAAGCCAGACATAGAGGTATGGCTCAAGTGGTTAGAGCCTCAGCCTTAAGTGGTAAAGCTAGACAAAAGCTCAAGGACCTGAGTTTAAGCCATAGTACTGGCCTGAAAAAAAATTCTCTTTAATAATTCTCCAAAATCCATTCATTTTTGTCTGTGGAACTTAAACTTGGGGCCTAGGTGCTGTCCCTGAGCTTTTGTGCTAGCACTCTATGACTTTGAGTCACAGCTCCACTTCTGGTGTGTGTGTGTGTGTGTGTGTGTGTGTGTGTGTGTTTGGTGGTTGATTGGAGTCTTGTGGACTTTCTGGCCTGGGCTGGCTTCAAACTGTGATCCTCAGATCTCAGCCTTGTGAGTAGCTAGGATTACAGGTGTGAGCCATCAGCACCTGGCAAGCTCTTCCTTTTTACAGAGCAGTGTGTCAGTCAGATGATGCCAGATTTATAAATACTTGCTGGCCTTTGTTCATGGGTTACAGACATGTCCTCCCCAGGCTATAACCAACAATGGCTAAGCTCCTATCATTGCTGTTGATCTCCCTGTGACTTGTGAGCCCATCCTTCTAGTCCCTAGCATGGTGATAACTTCCAAATTAAAACTCATGCAGTTTAGAAGTGTATTTGACAATGATAAAGCTGCAGTTAATGCACAAATCTTTAGCATGTAGCTCCTAGGATGTCTTAAAGAAGATGTAATGAAGCTGTAATCCTTACTAGTTTTCACCAAAAAAATATTCACAAAATTTCCTAGAGCCTAAAAAATATTCAAGAGCCTTGATGCTTGCACAGAATATCTCAATAGCGCATGCTTAGGGTGGATTTTTGTTGTTGGGGTGGAGGGAAGCAGGAAATACGGGCCAAGAAGCAATAGTAATTAATTTGAAAAGACTGACATTGGAGTATGTAATTGTTGCAGTAACAGTATATGTGCAATTATTGGAAAGATTTTTTTAAAAAAATAAATAAATACTGTGGGCAATTAGTTTCTCAACCCTGCTGGGAGTGTTCTCAAAATCCAGCTGTGTTCACCAGCCTTCAAGAGTGCTGACTGCAGCGGGGCTATAACAGATTTAAGAGATGAATTAACATCTTAACCAAGTACTTTTTACACGGAGAAGTAAAGTATTTGTGCTTTAATTATGCAGATAATAAAGATGCTGTTGATTGAGGAATGGCCTTTAACAATAGCACTCACTCAGTCTCATGAAAGGGGGAAAAAAACTGTGAGGTTTTGCTGCTGTTAGGAGTAAATCCATGTGTAATCATGCTTTTCTTTGCCCATTTGCAGAGGTAGCTATTGTGCCACCTTTGCTCCTGCTGAGATGTTAATGCCAGTTCATAAACCACCCTGCAACGTGGTAATTAACACCTTCCTCCTACTGGTACCCTGTCAAAAACATCCTGATCCTGACTCTCCAGGCAGGGATGAGATGGGAGGCTGTTAAAATGTTCTTCCCTACAAACCAAACCTTAAAAAATGCACAAAAGTGTGTGTGGTGTGTGTATATATGTGTGTGTGTGTGTGTGTGTGTGTGTGAGAGAGAGAGAGAGAGAGAGAGAGAGAGAGAGAGAGAGAGCGAGCAGTGTTTTGGACATACAATGACAATGCCAACCTTCTTGCTCAACAAATTCTTCTGATAGAAAGTAAGAAGAATTTTGTAAATATTTGTCCTGACCTCCTTATGGGGTTTTCTAAACTTTGTGGGGAAAAAAAAATTGCTTGAAGTTTGTACTCATTTACTTCCAAAACAGAAAAAAAATTAAGTGATAACACTGTTAATCCTTCTTAAGTATTCAGAATTACCATCCCAACTCATATAAAATAAGACATGTCTGGTTAGCTGGCAGATACAAGTCAAGATGGGCCAAAAATGAACATGAAAACACAGACAAGAAATACAGGCAGAATCTGGAAAGAAGGCAGTCTAGAACCAGGCAGGAGGAAGAGGTGACTTGTAGATTCTAAACAGAGTAAGCCAGTGAACACTAGAAAAGAAGAAGAGAAAAAGAGAAAGATATGTCATCTCCAGTGCTAGCTTCCGGGTACTGGCTCTGCCCCAATACTGTTTTGTTGTTCTGTATTGTGGGCAGTTCTGCCACAAAAGTTAAGGCTTATGTGAGAAACTTGAAACAAAGAACACTTTGCATAACTTCCCATCACAAGTGGGTTCATTCATTTAGGATTTAGGCAGGTATGTGTACAGAAAGAATGCTTGAATATTTATAAAAATCATTTATCTTTCTAGAGGCTTCTACAATCAAGCTCATGGTAGTTTTGCTTATATGAAGAATCTCAATGGAGACTGTTGGGGAAAGGGGGAAAGAAGATGGTAACATATGTATGTTTGCTTGTAAATATTATAGCAGTACACCGTAAATATGTATTCTATGCCTAAATACATAAAACATATATGCAGCATTGTGAAAACAGCACTATCAAATGCACCAAAAACAAAGAGGGGCTAGTGGGGAGGTGGTTAAGAAAGAACAATATTGATGGGGTAAATTTGATCAAAGTACATTAAATGCATGTTGTAAATGTCACAATGTACCCCCTTTGTACCATTAATTTATGCTAATAAAAATCAGGTTTGCAGATCAGATACCACGTGAGCGCCCAGTGAATTTGAGGATCCATCTGACATAGGCTTCCAGTGGTTTTACAGCCAGTAAAGGTGGACTCCATTTAGGAAGGAAGGAGACTAAACTAGAAAGGATGTAGGAAGGTTATAAAAGGATGGAGGAAGCTCTAAAAAATGTAAGCCTTTGGCTGGGAAGAAAACTCAATGGTAGAGCACTCATCTGACACCCTGATTCACACACACACACGCACACACACACACACACACACACACACACACACATACACATACACACTCATGCACACACACACAATTTTTTTTTTTTTTGGGTCCGGTGATGGGGCCTGAACTCTGGGCCTGGGTGCTGTCCCTCAGCTCTTCAGCTCAAGGCTAGCGCTCTACCACTTGAGCCACAGCACCACTTCTGGCTTT